GAGAGCAATGTACAAGACCAGAAGGTCTGATAAACATAATCTGATCCACATTGTTGAGAGAGGACAACGTGGACGGACACATTCAACAAGGCAAGAACATGACGCTTGGAACTTATCAAGAAAGGGACCGTGTTATGAGCAGGACGACGAAGGTTCCGATGAAGAGCACTGTATATAAATACGTATGGAGATGTGTATAATCCTTCATCACCTTCAACTCAGATACTAATCTTAATTGATTAACAGACATGGCTCCCTCCCTTCTCAAGTTGTCCTCCTTCATCGTCGCTTTCCTTTGCATCGCCTCATCTTGCTTTCTCCTCCCAATGGTTGGTTTTACTGTTACCCATCACCATACACCCACTTCAGCTTTTACTTCAGCTATTACTTTTGACCGTCCCCTCTTTTCAAAGGTTTTAATAAATAACCTTTTACCCGTGTATATTAATTTTTATGTGTATTTTTTGTATAGCTCGCTGTTAAATATTCCATTTGGTCCTATATATACATTGTGCTTTCAACTAGCTCATGCATTGGCTGGTAAAAAAAAAAACTAGGTCATGCATGGCAAGAAAAGTCTAAGAAATAGCCCAAGATTCCATTTTAATTTACTAGCATTACTAGTTTAAAGAATGCAGATTTCATTAAATATAAAGGCAATAAATTCAACCAATCAAAGCATGACTTCAAGACAATTTATGAGAGTAATCATTAAATGTCTCCAGGTAAGAAAAGCAAACCTTTATACCCCCTCGTCTAAAGACATTATATAAATATCAATAAAGTTTAATAATAACATTTAATAAATTTATCTTTTAAAAATAAAAATATAAACTTTTAAAATACCCTTCTTTTTATATAACTTAAATTTACATTCATTTTAATTCTTTCTGTATTTGAAGAATAATATTGAAAAAACATTATCATTCAAACTTTATTTTTTTAAATTGTTTAGCATTTTGGAACAACAAAATTCATCCAACGTTATCTTATAATTTAAAACTTTGTTCTAGTTTTATTTATTGACTACACTTCTATGACTTTTGTGCTTATCTTTACCCTTTTATCCATATTAAATTCTAGGAATGTTATTAAATGTTAGAATATTTTATTTATAAAATATATATTTTAATAAGAATAAATTAAAGTTAAAAACTTATTGAATTTTTAAATATGATTAATAAAGTTTAAAGATTTTCTTGGTTTCGGTTAAACTTGTTAAAAGTTAGTTATAATTAAATAGGACTGAAAGGAGTATAACATATATATTACATAACTCCTTATTATAGAGCAAGAAATTAAAAAGCTTTAAAAGACACCTTATAACGAGGATAAGAGCGAGTAACATTTTATGTGAAAACCATATAATCGGATTGTAACATTAATATACATTATATATTCACAATCTGACCATTTGTTGGTGTTAAAATAGAGAACGTGGAAGCAGCAGTTTGTGAAAGATTTAGCAAAAGATTTAGGTGGGATTTGCAGTGACAGTGGAAGCTATAATAATGTGTGCCACGGCGAGGGTACAGTTGTCACCTTTAATTATTAAACCTATGTCTTTATTGGTTTAATCACCAGTCCGTGGCACGTTGATAAATTAATATTGTGTTTGATATTGTTGTTTCAATATAATTATAATGAATTTTTTAGAAATGTAACCAGGAATATATAAGTGTTTTAATTAAAATATAGTATGTTAAATTAAAATAAATACATCAAAATACACTTTTACTATGTATTGAAATTTACATCGAAAAACAATATTTAATAATGAGAGGAGAGTTAAAAAATGATAATTGGATTGGACTCAGTTTTTTTCCAAGTACGCCAAGTTTATAGCCCAAAAACAAATGAAAATGAGGGAAACCATTGATGAAATTAAGATGAAAGACAGGATAAGTAATTTGGTCTCCAGGCCAAATGATATGACAAGCATCTCTTAACTTTAATTGATCTTGCCTTTATATTTGTATATCTTTATAACTCGGAAAAATCATAATTACAAGCAATGGCATTGTTAAAAGAATACATTTCTTAACTTCCCAGATTTTGAGCTATATTTCTATCACAATTAAAGAAGCAATCATTTGTGTTGATTATTATTGATTGCCAAAATTGCACACAACGAACACTGATTTTATTTGTCTTGATTACTGTTACTCCTGGTTGTGTGACTTAACAGTTAACGCGGCACGTGAAACGGATTATTTCCTCTAACCTGTAATAATCTCATAATTTTTGTATCAAGTTTTCGCTTTGCCTTCATGAGTATATGTATAATCCAAAGAAAAACACCTGCAGTGTTCACTAGGCCTCCTATCAGTTAGAACTTTTCATTGATAGCCCTCTCCATTGCATTAACCTCATCTTAATGAAAACAACAATATAAGCACAAGTCCAAAGAAAAATCCCATGCCAAAGAATTAGCCTATTCTGTTACAAAGGAGAGTGCCTCTTGAGCTTATAGATTTCACTTTCTTTGTAAGGCAATAAGGCTCTTTGTGAACTCATAATAGAAAACTAAGGAATAATGAAACTTTTATTTCATCAAATTTACTTCAATTATTAATTAGTTGGTCTCTTAAATTTAATTTTATCAATTTAAGTTTACTTCAGCCATCAATTTAATCTTTAATATTTGTAGAGGAGATAACAATGTTAAAATCTGTAGATATGAATAAAACAATATTATCAACAACCACGTAAATTAATGGAAAATAAGTATAATTATTTAGGTAAAAAAATGATTCAATTTAAAAAAAACAAATTATAAAAACAAGACATAGTATGATGGAATGAATTGATAAAAATTAAATTAATTGGAAGGTTAACATATAAACTTTATACATTACATCAATTTAAATTTGTATTCTAAAACTTAAAAGACTAACGTGATAGTAATTTAAAAAAACGTGAGGGGCTAAATTGATGAAACTTGAATTTTTAAAAATCAAGTTAATAACTGGGAAAAACTAAAGAACTAAAAATTTTATTATCTCTATAATTAATAATGTTGCCGGCGGGACAGCAACCGCCCAAATCAAATGACAAAACAAAATAAAAATTCAAGACGGAAAACAGAAGAGAACACAAGACAACAAGACCAGCCCTCGGAAAATCCGCATGTGAAAGTCCACGAACCATCCACAGCACTTGAGTATATGTGTGCGTCTATATATATAATATAGCTCCTCCTTGAACTCCATGTTAAATCAGAGATAATTAGAGCTCTCAGCCAAAAATATGGCCAGTGGCATCAGGAAAAGGCCCACCTGGGCTGCTTTCTTCTGCATTGCCTCACTTCTTGTTTTCTCAGCCACTGGTCAGGACGTGATCTCTTGCTCTTCTTTCTTTCATTATTATTCATTTCTCAAGTTGGATTTGCTGAATGTGTGTGTGTGTGTGTGAATGCAGAAGTAGAAAGGGTGGAAGCAATAGCAGTGTGTGACGTGCCAAGCGGAACATTTAGAGGACCCTGTATCATCCCTTCTAAATGCGATGAACAGTGCAAGTTAAGTGAAAATGCTCTTGGGGGTCAATGTTTCGTCTTAGCTTGTTACTGCAAGTTCGATTGCAATAACCCACCATAGCTTTTAATCACAATCCATTCTTCTCTACTCTTTATTTCTGGAATCAAACTCCTGCATCCGTCTTGTCCTACTTCTATATATACATATATTAAGTAGTTTTCACTCGTGTATATGCTATAAATTATTTAAAATAATAATTATAGTGCTTCATCTGTAAAGAACTTGTTGTAAAGCACCATCCTTTCCTGATGAGTTATGTTTTGCTTTTATTAGATTGTACGTGTTTGTTATGTGAGAAACGACTGAAAAAAAGAGAGGTGCAGATGCGAACAAATTAAAAACTAATTCTAATGTCTTCGATGAAATAAAAATAGAGACAAATGCTTTATAATGATGATAAACATGGTATGATAAAATATGCATTGATGTAACGCGTCAAAATTAATAGCTTGAAGTTAACAAAAAAAAAAACATTATGATAGAAAAAATTAGGATGGAGAAATGAGATCATCCAGCTTTTATGCTTCTTTACATGAAAATATTTAAATATTGAACGAAAAAGTATATATTTCATGAGTTGACTAAAGCAGGGTATCGAAATATAATATTGTATATTGCCTGAAGGTTGAAGCCACCGCAATATTAAAGATAGTCCTTTACTTTTAACAAAAATTTTAACAAAGGTTTGTTCATCTAATGGCATCTAGACATCTTCAAAGGGGGGAGGTTATGGGCTCGTTTGCTTGTCAAAAAGAAATGGAAATGAATTAATTAGACAAATAAAAACAACAATAAATTTGAAAGAGAGATATGTTAACTATATTAACAAGAGAAAATAGTAATGTAATTCATGATCAAATTAGGAGTCATGACGAAAAAGAACCAAAAGGGAGTAATATCATGTCTCGAGCTCAAAACCTCATGAAACATCTAAAGAGAATGTGGCAAAAAGTTGCTTCTAATATTAAGTTTTATTATATTTATCATGAGGAGAATAATAATTTAATTTGTTTTTACCCTTTTTTTGATCTATTTTATTTCCGTCATTTACAATAATTAAACAAGTTCTATGGTTTTAAATATTGAAAAGATAAGTTATATCTCACTTGTGAAAAAAAGGTTAAATTTTGAATTACCAATTATGAGATGAAATTTAGAAAAATAAACATTGTTTGAGCCACCTCATGTCCTTGTGAATACTCCCACCAATCTAAGGGATAAAATTTTTTTAATTTTTTATAAATCACATTATTAAATTTTTATCACAAAGTTTTTCTATTATCTTTCATTAAATATTGGTAAAAAAATGTCAATAAGACATGTATATTTAATAGGAATATTTTTCAAACTAAGAAAATTAACGAGGAATAACGAAATAAACTACATTGAATTAAAAACGAAACACGATTATTAAAGTATATATATGGACTTGCTTTGATATTCTCTTTAAAACCTCTTCTTTTTTTATTGTTGTATGCATACCGAGTCGCAAGTAAGAAGAACGAGGCGTGTGAAAGCAGGAGCGAAACTAATCTAAAACATTGTAATTACTATATAACGACGATGTTGCCCGACGGCATCCACCCGAATCAAGTAATCAATCAAACCGTAATTAATTATATTCAACACCAAACAAGACAAGAAGACCTGCATTCCGAAAATCCGAATCCGCATGCTCAAGTCCACGAACCATCCATTGTACTTCGGTTGTGCGCGCGCGCGTAACATAGCTTCTTGACTCCAACCAAAGATATATAACTAGAGTTTATAGCCAAAAAAAAAATGAGCAGTTCCATTAGGAAGCTACCTACCTGACCTGTTTTGTCCTGCATGGCTACCATTCTCCTTTTCTCAGCCACTGGTTAGTTATCTCTCTTCTTTTTCATCATAATCTCACTACCTTGGGCATATTCTTTTTCTTTGATTTCCTTCATGATGAGATGCATATTATATTATATTGCAGGAGTAGAAAGGGTGGAAGCTTTGTGTGGGAAGCCTAGCGGACATTCAGAGGGCCGCGATTCAACACAGGCAAGTGTAGTGATCTGTACAGAGGAAGAGAGGATGCAGCTGGAGGATTCTGTTACATCTTTTCTTGCTACTGCCACAACGAAACCCATAATACATAGCTGATTCATGTTTGTGCGCGGGGCGCGTGTAAAAAATTCACCAGAATTATTCACTCTTCACTTTTTGGTTTCATCCTTTATTTCATGAATATACTGCTGCATCAATGTTTGTCACTTTTATGGATTCACATGGTCTCATTCTTATATATACAGCTAGAGGTTTCACATTATCTCTAACTGCATAAAAGATGTAATTAGGATTCTTGTAACTATGGCCTCTTGATGACTTTCTAATCCTAATTTGTGAATTTTAGGAAGTCGAGTTTTCATATATAGGCTAGAAAACAAAACTCGTCATAGCATTTTATCCCAAGAAATGGAGAGGGAAATTAGAATAAGAACAAACGTGTGTGTCGGGGTAGATAAACATACAGAGCAACAACATGCGATATGTATGGGAAGATACGTGATGACAACAATGTCTGTAAAAATACCTGCTTAATTAGCAGAGGATGATGATGTTAGAGAAACTTGCTCGCCAAGTCATGATACTGATGATGATTGGCTCAACCTTCTCTCTTTTCGTTGTTAAAAAGCCCGAATTCCCACTCCTCACTGTCAACAAGTAAACTTGTACAATGCACAAAAATACACAATCATCTACTAACGTTAAATGAGTCAGGTAGAAAGGACTTCATGATATTTAAATAAAAGTCTCAAATTTAAGTGGAGTCGGTTGTACGTCTTTTTACTCACAAGAAGATAACAATTGTAACAGCTTTACTAACAACAAATCTTATCCTATAAAGTAGAGTCAGTTACATAAATTGCATTACGCATTACCTAATTACCTGGACAGGTTCAGCCTCCGAGGTATTCTGCTTGGATTGCACTTGATATTAGAAAACTTCTAAGGGATAGGATATTGAAATCCCTTGTCACATTCAGTCAATTGCAGATACCTTATGTTCCAGTGTAATGTTTCGTCATCAATATACATACATGTGCGTGTATTCATGACTAACTTGGTTTATAATCCTTTGTAATAGGATCTACTGAAAATCAGGAAAAGAAAGCGTACAAGCAATGCAGTGGATCAAAATTAAAGTAGTAAAGGTAGAAAATCTAAAAACAAAGGAGGCTGTAGGTGCTGCTGCTCAAGTTTGAGTTGGAGGTGAAGGCACAGGTGGGACCTGTATAAATTTTACAAATAAAATTTTTATTATAGTTTGTAAATCAATGATTTATTAGTTTTTATAAAAATATTTTAAATATATATTATTTATTAATCTCATAAAATTTATTGATTAAAATTATAAATATAAATTTATTGAGAAAAATAATAAAGATATATATTCAAATTTTCTTTTTCACTGAGAAAGATAACACATCTAAACGAGAAGATGATTAATAGTAAAAATCTAATAAAATAAATTTGCTTGGTTGAATTCTATATTTATTTTATATATTTATAAGTTCTTTAATTGCTAATTTGCTTTAAAATGTGAAATAAATATATATTTGTATTATATAAATTTTAAATTATTGAAAAAAATATGATAAATTTTTGTAGATTAGTCCGCTAAAAAATAAGTTGGATTGAATTTTTCAACCTATTTTATCTGGTAGGCTAACCCAGCCCAACCTACAAAAATGCCAGCTCACACGGGCTAGCCCACTGATTAGCTCATCTAATGTCAAACAATTTAACTCAAATAAATTCTAAACAATTTAATCTGAACAAATTTCAAACAATTCTAAACATAACCGAACAAAATATGCAAGACAATCACCTTATCTCCTCCTTTTTTTAGGGCCAAAGTCTATGCCCAATGCCTAACTCACCTACCTAACCTCCCATAATTGAACAAGTCATGCATATAATAATTTTTAAACAATTATAAATTCCAAACATTAATATATGCTTCCAAATATAATAATTTCACACCAAACATAAGGTTATATCAAATTTTCTAGCAGTACATTTTCCAAACTATAATATCTATTTCTAAACATGTATTTTCCCAAACAACATTTATTTGAAACAAAATATAAACATAATTAATTACAAAATGTACACCACAACATAATAGTAGATGTTACCTTGGCTCTCAGCAATTAAACTTCCCTATGCAAGTGCCTCTTCACCACAATGATTACCAATATTGCAATCTACATACATGATAATGTCAAACATAATTAATACTTGTGATTAAACACTAAATCTAAGGTTAGGTTAATTAATTTCATTAACCCAACACCCTTCCATATACTTTAAATCTTAAAACTTAATTATCTCCATCGTTAATTTACTTCTAATAAACTCATTTAATTTTTAATTATCATAATTAATCTCTTAATAACCTTAATTTTCACACTTAATAAATCTGAAAAATCTAGGTCTTGACTCAAGCCTCAAATCATCATCCCAATACCTTATGAATATTTTTTTTATATTCAAATAAATTTCTAATCATCACCTTAAAATTTCAGATCTATGAAAAACTTAACCACATAAGTATAAAGTTTAATTCATAAGCCTCAATTTACAAATTTTCTACACTGAACGCTCTATCCAAAATATTCATTTTGTGAATTTCAATCTTAACCAGCAAATTAAACTAAATAATCCTCAATATAACTCCAATAAATATAATCAATCCATTAAATTCAAAATAAACCACCACCATATTACAAACAATTATTTTCACATTAAAGCCTAAGTTTGATTCCTCAAATCAACTATTTGGAAAAATATAAATCATACAAACTCTTATTATAAGATCATTAGTCTATTGACAACTAAATAGCTAATGAAAATACCAAAAATTTGAAATCTAACAAATCCTAAAATTCTTTCTGTCAAAAATTCTGAAAATAAATAAAAGGGGATAGTTAAAAAAATGTTGAGGATACTTACACGGTTATAGAATGCTTAAAATTACTATTAGAGTATTCTATTGTAAAGCCTCCATCAAGAAATGGCTCCCTCTTAATCAGTCTTTCCCACCTGCCACTGTTTGCGCCGTGCACAGATGAAGAAGAAAAAGAGATCGTGTGATGTGTTGGAGGAATAGAAGGGCCGAAAGAGTAGGGTATCATGACAATTAGTTAGTGGGCCAAAGGCCCACGTGTATGCACACCTCTTCCGTTTTTGTTTTCACTTCTGTCTTTATTTTTTTTCCAACAATCTTTAAGAAATATATTTTTAGATTATATAAAAAATATATATATATATTCTTTTCTGAGATTCTCTTAATATATCTAAAGCTAAACTTTACTACTATACTATACTTAAACATAATTCCTTTATATATATATATATATATATTTTATATGATTATAGTTTTTTAAATGGAGAAATAAATTACTCCCTCCATTAAAAACTATAAGGTATTTTTAATCAAATCTTACATTTTAATAAAGTAGTTATCTACTTTTAAATTAAACCTATATTTTTATATTTATCCCTATTAAACACCTTATAATAAATATAAAGTCATTCATCAATAAAGATACTTTTAGAAAAAAAATCATTATACCTCAAAAGATTAAAAATGTTTTATATTTTTTAAAATTCAACTCTTAAAAAAATATCTTATATTTTTTAATAGAGGACTTACATATTTTTATTTAATCCTCACTTAAACTATATAACCCCTCTTGAATAAAATTCTTTTTACTCAAATAATTACCTAATAAAATATACTAAATTCAAACAATGCTAATAAATTTATATTGCTTTTAATTAATTTATTTTCTTCCTTTTTCATAAAATTAATTTGATGCTTTAAAAATATAATTAAACTCAATTTATCTTGATCAAAATTTTCCCTAATTTCATATCCCATTTAATTGAAATCATAAACCTATGTGCCTCTGTATCTCAAAAAAAATATTAAGTTATCTCAAGTTTCAATTTACTTAATTCATATTTTAAAATTTCTTAAATTTTAGAAATAAAAATTGAGATGTTACAAAATGCCCCATATTAAACATAAATATTATCTAAAAATTATTTAAGGTACCAACAAAAAATTATGCACATATCTTTTACTTTTAACTCAAATATATTTTAATTTTTAAGTTATGTAAAATTATTTATCTAATTTTTTGATAAAGCTTATTCCTTATATTTATTAAAAAATATGTAATTAATTTTTTAAAAAATAAATAAATATGTTGGTTAAAATAATATTTCAAACATGTATATGCTTAAAAAACTTAATAAAATAGGGATTTAGTAAAATAAAATATAAATTATTCAATATAAGTTACTTTTATTTTTCTTTAATTTTTTAATTTTTATAAAATTAAAATTATTTAATTGAATATGATCAGAATTAATTATTTAGAGTTTTTAATTTGGGAGAGAGGGTAGATAATTTCATCGTAAGGAAAAATTAGTTGTTATAATTTTTTAATATAATTACAAATAAAAAATTAAATAGTTTAAGATAATATTTTTAACGGTATTAAGAATTAGATTAAAATGTATGCTTTGAAATTATACAAAAAGTGTGTATACTTTTAATAAAAATAAAAGAGAAGTTGCTATATTTTACTTTAAAATTTATCTTAAAAGGATCGACGGAGGAAATATTATCTTTAATAAAATCTTAATAAATATCTTTAACAATAAATTAAAAAATTGCCTATGCTCCTCCGACTATAGGTAGATATAGCCCAAAGAAAAAACGATGCCGGGACGCATTGGATAAGTTTCTGCGTGTGATAATCGTGTCTAATAAATTAATGACCTTATATATTAAACCGCGTCATTATAGGTAATTCATTCAACCTACATCAATATGATGCCTCGATTACTAGTCTCCCTTTGATGTTGACATTAAAATAAGATGTTCAGGCAACAAAACAAAACAGCTGATTGATTTAGATATTGGAATTCGTCATAAAGATAATATGTGTGTGTGTTGTCATTATCAAATAAATATGTAAAAAAATTGGAATTCAAATTATTCAAATTGAATCTTGGTATTAATAGTCTGGATTTTTTTTTAAATAAGCAGCCGGACTATGACTAGAGGATATATATGTTTAATGAATTATTGAATGTAAGTATAAATTTAGATAATGTCACAATAAGAATCAATCAATCAGTTATAAATACGAAGGACATTGAACATTTTGGTCTTTGAGTTTTTTTTTTTTTTAATAAAAAGCCACGAAAAAACTGTGCTAAGTGACGAGATGTGTTATGTCAACGTACAAAAAATTATTGCAACTAAGAGACGGAGTATTGGTCGTTGTGTTTGGCTCAGTTAAATTTTTATCAATTTTATCATTATGTTTAATCTTTATCAATCAAGACCTTCAGTTCCATACTTATATGCAACTGATCCTTATGGTATTATTTCTCATTTAGATAATATGTACTATTTGTCTATGGTGATGAAACTTTAAGAAATTTGTTGACGAATATTAAACTTCAGAGACGACAATTTGAGGGACAGTTATTTGACTTCTATATTTCACTGTCCCTAAATAAAAATTACAAATTAAATTTAACACATTATAATAAAAAGGATAAGATTTTGATACTTAATTTTATATACTTATTATACTTCTATCTAATTAAATCAGAACATCTGAATTTTAATGCATTAATAAATAATAATAGGGAAAATGATAATTATGGACCTTCATAAGGTATTGATAACAATTGACGAGCTCAAATTATTAAAATATCATGGAAGGACCATGATCTTTATTTATAATTAAAAAATAAATAGTTATTAAAATAATTAATGGAATGTGATTCATGAATTTAAGTAAAGATAGTATGTTATTTATGAATCAATTGAAAGTCAATTGGAAATAGATGGATAATCTTATGAATTTATACATCATCACTGGTCACTAATGAATTTTTGAAAATCTAGCCATGAATAAATAGATATTCTTGTGAAGTTATGTATCGCCACATATAATTTAAGGACCGTCGGTTGTGAATATAAAGAATTTCACTCATATAAATATATGGAACATCAGTGTAAATATATATGAATAATTTTAATTGTAAAGCAATGATTCAAGGATACTCATATAATGTTTTTGAATATCTATTCATAGCGAACTTTTTATAAAGTTATAAGTGACAATGTATATGTTTATGAAACTAATTATCTATTCACAAACTCTCCATAGATTCACACAAGTGATTTTTCTTCAATTCACAACTAACTTTTTTTAAATTTTCAAGTGACCTTCTATATTAGTTATTTTAATAATTAGATGTATTTTGATTACAATTAAAGATCATTGTCCTTCCTTGTCGTTATAAGGTCCATATAATTGTCATATCTCTTAATAATATGATTAACAAGAGTTTGTTATAGAAAAATTAATCATTTAATTCTTATAATTTTGATTAAGTTATAATTCAATTCTTAAATTTTAATTCAATATAATACACTTATATATATATATATATATATATTTATTTATTTTGGCCAATGACCTCATAGTCTTTGTGGCAACAGCACCTTCTTAAAAGTGTGAGGTCCAAGGTTCGTACCCTGCTTTGGCATCTGGGCGTATGAGTTATATTTAATTGATTAGTTTTCCAAAAATTAAATTAAATTTTTATACTACTAGTAGTATTAGATAAGGAAAAATGGACGAGCTCGACCTTTTAGGGCCCAAGTCCTGAAGCTCATTTTTTTAAATTTTCACCAAATCTTGAAACTTGGCTCTTATTGAAAGGGTTTAGGGTTAGGCCCAGAAGCCCTATTTCAAAAAATAAAAAAATTAATATTATAATTTAATGTTGTTTTTTTAGAAAATAATTTAATTTAATATCATAATATTTTATATTATAATTTAACTCTAAAATTTATAAAAACTAAATCAAGGTGACATCATTTAGAAAATAAATAAAAAATTTAAAAGTCTAAATACATGTTAGTTAATGCCAGTAAAATTCACAACAAAGTTTTAAAAACAAAATATATGAGGCATATCAATATAATCCTCACATAATAAGATGAGGGATTAGAATTTTCAAATCAAATTAAAATCTTAAAAGCAAGTATCAAATTAAAATCTCAAACATCCATAACCTAAAAATAAGATCCATGCTTGAAGATGAATTAATTGAGAGTAAAAGAGCCAAGAGACTAAAGCAATAGAATGCTAAGAGAGAGATGCCAAGTCAAAAGATGAGAGGGAGAGGTTAGTCGAGAAACAAAAGGAGCCAAAAGGCTAGTAGAGAGGTGAGACAACTTGAAGAAAGAAGAGGGTGAGAGCAAGAGGTTGAATTGAAAGACAAAGAGAGTTAGAGAATTTAAAATGATTGAATACTTAAATTTTTTTTTTCATTTGTCACATGGTGTGTTCTAAGGTAAAAGAGAAAAAAATAGAACACTGCTTGCAAGTATTCAAACTCAAGCCTTTTTTTTCAAGACCTATCAAAGCTGAGCTCAAAAACTCAATTACCTTAAAAGTTTTTTTATTTTTCAAATTTAAATCTTTATTTAAATAGGAATTTTGGACCTGTGCCTTGTTTCTTATTCTAAGTAGCATATGAACCCACAAACTTACGGGTTACGTGGTAAACCTTAGCTAGCGAGTCCAAAATCAAACTAAATATACATATTATATCCAAAAGTCCAAAAATGCAGAGTGCAGACGCGAGACGCCACCGGATCGTACCGCCCATTCACAAAGTCGAAAGGACAAACGCTGGGAATCAAAATCATCAGATGACAGAGAGTTTATAAAGTCACCTAGAACGTAACGAATTTTAAAACCAACAAATGGAAAACACGTCACCATGAAGACCGTACGTACTATATATATTGTACAATCCTTCATCACCTTCCAACTCACACTTGAAATTAAACCCAGCCAGCACCTTCATTGAGTCTGAAGATGGCTACCTCTCTCTTCAAGTTCGCTGTCTTCCTCTTCATTGCCCTCGTCCTTTTCTCTCCCAACGGTTAGTTTTCCTACCCATTACCTCTTTTGGATATTTTCATTATCTTTTACAGTTAATGAAGGTTAACAATGCAATTACATCAGTACTGTGCATGCTTTCATTATTATTAGTCAAAAGTTAATATGGTTAACCTCTATATATTAGTACTATATTAATCTCAACAATTCCAACCTGTGCGTTTGTGTGTATATATATTTTTCGATGCATTGGGGAAAAGAAACAAACAGACTGGCTGGTCATACTGCAAGCGTGTGTATATTTCTATATGCATTGAAAATATCCAAGAGACGTAAAACCGAATCGATCATTAAACCGATGATGGCACTGAGTCACGGGTTAGTGGTTTAATCAGGATTGAACCGAGAGTTGAACCGGTGGCAAATTGGTCATGATTAAAATAATATAATTTAAATAAAAAGACATTAATTATAAAAACATTCAACCAAATTCAACCATTCAAAAGTCTAACAATAATAAAATACTATATTTTTGGACTTAGCATACTCTGCTTTTAATTTTTTATTTTTTGACTTCAATTTTACTTTTTTTTGTTATCTTATTTCTGAACTCAGAACTCTGAAAAATTAAAAATGAAAAAAATTAAAAACGACGTCGTTTTAGGATAAAAGTCTGAAAAAATAATAACACGATTAACCCAATCAACCCACCGGGTTATTCAAGTTATACCAGGTTGCACAAGTTCACTCTCTCACCGGGTTGAGAGTAAACCCAGACCGGAACAGGGACCGAGTCACCGGTTTCCTGGTTGACCCGGCCGGTCCGGTCTAATTTTCAATACCATGAAAATATCTCACAAGTTCCATTCTAGGTGTTTAAAAATGTAGTTATGACTATACATGCGCATGCTGTGTCGGTATGTATGTGTTAATGGATGTGTATGCATGGTGTCTTACATGTTATGCAGAGAATAATATTGCTGAAGCAAAACTTTGCCAAAAACTTAGCAAAACATTTTCTGGGATTTGTATCCGCAAGAAACCATGCAAGTCTGCATGCGCAAAAGAAGGTGCTGTTGACGGAAGTTGTCACACTCATGGTATTGGACGTGCATGCTTTTGCTACTTCCGGTGTTGAGAGACGCTATCACGTGCCTTCCTCGTGCTGATATCAACCAGACAACCACCTCCTCATACTAAGTTATGAATATATATTATATAAATAAATAGTGCTTCATTCGGTTAAAGCACTGTTCGTGCGCGCGCGCGTCAAAGTTCATGTCTCGCTGTTTGGCTGGCTCGTAATAATTCATCTATTGTGTTTTTTCTTTTATGTTCTTTTTCTTGGTTTCTTTATGTGTTTTGTGATGGATATTATTGTATCTGTTTCGTGTTATATAATGAATTGAAGGGTACGGTTGTGTTATAAAAAGAGCACTCCGCGTCTGCTGGTATATATTTTGAGTGGTGTCATTTAGTTTGACGTATGCCTGATTTTTATTTCTTTTCTTTTTTTTGTCTTGTATAAATTCAACGCTTCCATGTCTTATCTAACTCGAACCTTGAATAACGAGTAATTAGCTATATAAAAAAAGGTAGCATGTCTTAATTATAGGCAAAGATAAGAAAAAATTTAAAAATAAAATAATTAGAAATTGCAGAGAATAGGAGAAAATAACAAAATATGACACATAAAATTGAACAGGAAAATTTTTTTTATGTGTGAGACAAAAAATTCACCGGAAATGAGTGAAAATTTTCACTATAGAAAATTGGGTAAACAATAATTATCTTATATATCTATGAGAATGAAAAGACTATATATATATACAAAGCTTCTTAAAAACTAAAAAAAATAATTTGGGTAATAAATAATATCCTTTGAAATCTCAATTATAAATATTGTTTTGCTCAAAAAATCTCAATTATAAATATGATAGGGATCTGATTGATTTTACACCAAGATAATAGGTAGAAGAAATTTGAGTCATAATCTCAATAATATATAATGTTAGATTCAAATATATACACATTAAAAATTTATCTCAAAAGAGAAAAACAATGGGAAGGAGAGGAAAAAATAAAAGATAAATAGATCAGACTAAAGAAAAATCTAATTAAGGACAACACTAAAGTGTACCAAGGAAAAAATTGAAAGCGAGGAAAATCGACGGTGATTGGTGACATTACGTACGATTAAAGACAAGATGATGATGCCATGGAACCTTGTAGCTTGATGGTTAGTGTGTAGCACGCTCAACCTTCAGATTGCAAGTTCGAATGGCAGACCCAAAAAAAAAAAAAAGGACAAGATGATGATAAGCGACTTGGTCTTAAAATAAGAAGTATCATATCTTTAGTTGAGATCATCAGCAAGTAATGACCTTAATAACTAAGGGAAAAAAATAATTATTGGCAACTACATTTCAAAGTTCACTGGTAGAAGATATTATAATTTGTATTTTCTTATTCCCAAAAGAAAGAGAAAGAAAGTATAAGAAAAACATAGTGGAGTCTGAGTCTGGGAAACGTAGCGTTTCAACTCAGGAAATCTGTAAATAGGCCAAATTATGACACTGTTATACATGTACGTTGAATGCTTACTGTCTAAAGTCACACTGATCCGAATGCCATTCATGCGTGTGTGCGTGTGTCTTTTGTGTGCAGTGCGTGCGCGCGCAAGAAATGGAGACAGAATAATTAGGTAATTAATTTGGTCCCCAATTAAATGACGAATATCTTTAGTTTATGTCAGAATATCATCATTATTCCACCTTGTTGAGTGATGAGCGAGCAAAAGATAAAAAAAAAAAAAAAATAGTGGAAGGCACCTTAAAGTTGACTTGTGGATAATGTTTGTATTTTATTATTTTCAGCATGAAGAGAAAGAAAGAGTAAGCAAGACATAGTGGATAGATGAGCTCTCATCCATCCATAAATGGGTCCCAAGCAGGGACAAAGTCAGGATTTAAAAATAATATACTATAAAATTTTTATAAATTTTAGAGGGATTGAAAGTATGTAATACTTATATAATATAAAAAAATTTTAAAAAATTAGGAGGCCACGTCTCTTGCTGATCTCCCTTCCCTTTGCCATTGGTCTGAAGATTCCTTGTTAGTTATTAGCCATAGCTGTATTTGTTGTTGTTGTAATCTAACTTTGAAATCTTAATTCACTGATCATGATGGTCACATTTTGGCACACGAGACCATGGTGGATGATTTTTGGAGACTTCGGAGAAGAGAACTTCACTCAGATTATCCTTCGTGCACTGTTAAGTTTCAATAGTACGCAAGACAACCCTTTGATCTCCTCTCTACTCGAATCAAATATATCTTGCCAAATTTTAAAATAAAAAAAGAGCAAGTAAAGCTCCGAAAGAACATAATATTCGTACGGCTTCGGTCGGCAATGTAAGATTCCAACATGGTAGGTACCATATAATTAGGAGTAAAAATAAGAAAAAAGAAGCATTAAAATATTCAGAAACCCCACTATTATCTATCATCGATTAAAATATGCATACATGGAGAATATATATAGATACGGTACTTTGAAAGGAGAGCCAGAGCAATACAAAACCATCTCTCAAAAATATCATCGGATCAAGCTTGTCCAGAGAGAGGACAGAATACGGTCACATTCCATAGAGCGATAGCGTGACACTTGCAACCTCTTAAGCAACGACAAGAAACGGACCATGTTATGTAAAGGCGAAGATTTCCATGAAGACCTTTGTATATTAATATGTATGTAGAAGCACAGTTCTTTATCAGCTACAACCCAGAACCTCGAAACAAGTCCTGACATGCATGGCTGCTTCTCTTCTCAAGTTGTCTTCCTTCATTGCCTTCCTCTGCATTGCCCTCCTCGTCTCCTCTCCCAACGGTTAGCTTTAATTTACCCATCGCCAATCATCCACTTGAGTTTTTTGTGTATATTTTTGCACAACTTGCTTTAAAATATTGGAATATTAACATAAAGATATCCTTACAAAGTACGTTCATATATATTTACATGCATTGTATTAGAGTTTACGATTAAGTGCCACATTGATAGTGATTAGAGGATATATAAATCAAAGAGACAAGTAGCTTAAACTATATCCTGGTCATGATTAGAGTATAAATCAAATGGTGTACATAACCTTAAGGCCTGGATTACAATTGACGCAGAACTCTGATAAGTGGTGCTGCATTATTTGTTGGCTTACATTGATGTAGAGAATGTGGAGGCAGTACTTTGTGGGAGACTTAGCGGGAGATTTATAGGGAATTGCATCGACAGTGTTCAGTGCAATGATACACGCCGCACGGAGGGTGCTGTTGCTGGAAATTGTCTGGCCCATGGTTTGGGATTTGCATGCTTCTGCTACTACAATTGTAAAAAGTGATAGTTTCACAGCTAATTACCTACTTGACGATGATCTCTGCGACTTCCTGTAATTTCTTGTTTGCTACTTATATGATGTCAATAAATAGTGCCGCCGTTTAAGCACCACGCGTCTGCTTGCTTTGTTAAGATAATTAAGCCACGTGATTTCTTTCACGTGTCTCAGTTTTTGTTTTTAATTTACCCCATCAAATAAAAACTTTTGTCTTTAATTATTATAGAAGTACCAGCAGTGTGGGAAATTTACATCTCATTAAATCTTCGTATACCTAATTCACTACTTTAATCTTTCTATATTGATGTATATCCATTCACCAAAATATATAATCCCTCCATTTTTAAATATAAGCAAAAGTTCCATGTGGTTTCTTGCTTTTTTTATAAGCAAAACAATAATTTTTAAAAAGTATTCATGACATCTTTGCTTAATTGTCCTTCATTAAATGACAGCATCATTAAATTAGAGAAAAATAAGGGATTAACACAAACGCATTTTAATATAAACTTTTTAATTTCAAATATATATAATTATTATAATTAACTAACTTTTTTAAACTATATGAGTTGGTTAAATTTTCTTTATATTTGAAAATAGAGGGAGTATATTAGATAGCATAACATAAAGAATTTTTATTGAGTTTGAAAATATTTTACTAGCGCTTCATTTAAAGTATGAAACATAGATATAATATCATCAGTGGCGGAACTAGTATCCCAAGTCAAGAGGTGTGAAATAATTTAATAAAAAATTAATATTTTTAAAAAAATAATAATTGCACTAGGACTAAAATTATAATAACATAAATAATTTTATTATTATTTTTTATTTTAAAAAAATTATATTGAACAGATTGATATGGTCTTTTATTGTAAATATGTTCTTCATATCTTATCATAATCATTAAAATATTATATATTTAATAAGTTTTTCAACCCAAATATTTTGTATTTAAAAGGTACAAAATATCAAAAATCGGGCTGCAAAATCATAAATTTTATATGCTTCACTTGTAATTTTTCCCAATGTACCCTCTCCAATGTGGCTCCGCCATGGACTGAGACTGTCTAGTCTCTACTGATCCTCCTTCTCCTGGGCTCATATATTATCTTGAAAAACGTCCCTGATTTAGACATTTTCAATGGTAATCGATTAGATCACATGACAAATTTTAATAAATCTCTTTGAACAAAATATTAATACTTATTTAATAATTTTGTTTACTTGGTATGAATTTCTTAAGGAGAGATTAGTCATATATATAAGCAAAAGGCGATGACACAAAAATTCGCTTGGACAAAAAATACATCCATGGATTCAATTGGTTAATTTATTGTGACAAAGAATTCTAAGATGAACCCGACATCATTCATGGTCTATCTAATAAAATTGTACCAATTTAATTAAATATTTTTTCAATTCTATTTATAAGTCACTTCCAACATATTTTACTAGTTTCAAAAAAAATCATAAAATTAATTAACTACGTTTTAAAATTTAATAAGTACTCAACTTTACCTTTATTAAATATATATAGTTTAATAATATATTTTCTCTCTCCAACATTTAATGGAGGGTAAAAGAGGAAGTTTATGATAAAAATTTAATTACTTGACTTACAAATAGGACTAAAAAAATTCTTCTCTCTTTGTCTTATAAATACAATCAAAGGGAATAAAATATTACTATGTATCATTTTTTTAATGATTTTATTTTTATAATACAATGCCTATTTAATTTCTTACATTTTTTTGTTGTCTATTTACTATCATTAATGTCAAATAAGTTTATATTTAATTTCATCAGAATGTCTTGTTTTTATTGAATAAACCATGAATGACATCGTGCACCAAGCCCATCTAAGAATTTCTCAGCTTTCTAATGTTTATAACTAATATTAATCGCTTCATCATTGCTAAAACCAGTGTGTATCACGGATATCATACTAGCTGAGATGATAAGTAATTGGATGTCCAAATGACAAGCTTCTTAATTAGCTTTAACTGTTCTCGACAATATACATTGCTAATAACTCAGAAAAAAAGTAAGTATGAGAAACTGTATTCAAAGTTTTAGACAACATTTGCATTTTCCTAGTGAAAGATAGAATAAGAAAAACAAAGGGCAGGAAAATACTATATACGCAGCGTCCAAGCCAAGGTTAATGTCCATAAAGCACATGCCATGCATGTAGGGAATTATATAAACGGAAAATAAGATATGCGCTAAACAACGACCAAGAGCTTCCAGCTTAATATTATCGCTCTTACTTATGTATTGCTGATGTTTGAAGCCTCGGTGGTTAATTTTACAAAGTTGAACTTTAAAGGTTACACAATAAAGGCTGACCATTTCCCTCAGGAAATAAAGAACATATATATGACACAATAATATGTGCATTGTCTGGTTGCAGTCCAATATATATGCAGTCGCTAAAATCTGAACTTTTCAACAAACATAAAACAATGAGACTTCGATGATGATGATGATAATGATAATAATAATAATAATAATAATAATAATAATAATATAATAATGAGACTTATTCCTCTTAAGTGTGTGAAGTCGAATCCCACGGTCCCTATGAACACCTTATTGATAGCTAGAGTATCATAAGTTCTCTTTGAAATTTAATTAAGGTTTGTCCTGAACTTAAAATTATCATATCCACATCTTGAAAAAAGAAAAAACGTGTCATGTGTACAACGGACTGCACTGTTGACAATAGAAGTTATTCTTCTTTATCCTTTGTTTCTGATTTTAAAGTTATTTACTCCTGTCCCTATTATAAGCATCTTTAGCCATCTTATTAGAATCATGAAAAGTCATTAGGTCATTAATTTTGTCTGAAAAGAGAATAAACTTTCAATTTAATTTACCCATATTTAATGAAAAAATTGTAAATTTACATTACACTCTCTCTCATAGTTAATGATTTTAATTAACATCCCACCAAGTGCCAATTTCTTCTAGAAGATGTTTTATAATAAGGGTTGTGGAGGAAGTATGAAATATGACATTTAGTTGTATGATATACTCCTTCTGTTTTAAATCATAAGAAACTTTTGAAAAAATTTTAACATTTTATAGTATAAAATACTTTAAAAAATAAAGTTTCGTTAATAATATGTTTTCACTATTATCCTTTTCATTATACTCTCTTTCTTTAATATTATTTTATAAATACATTATTAAATGAAGGATATTTTTAAAGTTTATATTTTTATTTTTTAAAAAATAAAATTATAAAGTATATTTAAAAAATTTTATTGATATATGTGATTTTGCAATTTATAATTTAGCGTACAGCTTCGGGAACATAAGATTCCTTCCCCGCAGGTTAGGCAAATTGGCAATATATACTTTTTTTTTTGGTTTGGTCGAATTGGCAATATATACTTAAAAGTGGCAACCAAGACAAACGAAGCATTAACACTAATTGATCAATTAAATTACGAACATCTGATACCTTGTTGAAAGAGGACATGGACACATGTTCAACTGAGAGAGAGTGAAGGTCCCCATGAAGACTGTTGTGTATAAACATGTATGGAGAAGCATATACAGTCCTCCATTAACTTCTCCTAATCAGAACCTCGAAACAAGGCCTCTTTCGCCTCATACTAAACTTATTATTATCAAACATGGCTGCTTCCCTTCTCAAGTTGTCTTCTTTCATTGCCTTCCTCTCTGCATTGCTCTCTTACTTTCCTCTCTATCCCAACGATTAGTTTTGCCCATCATCAAATACCCACTTGAGTTTTGTTTTTTTTTATTTTTTTGATATAGCTAAAATTCAAGTATTATTAGGTCTAATATTAGATGTCTTCTCCAAAGGCGTTTTTTACATTTACATGGACTCAAATTTGAGACCTCGTACTTAACCAGCCATAACCTCTTCTACTAAGACCAACACCTATTGATATGTTAATATAAGGCATAAGTTTTGCTAACTACAGAGGTTATCTTCCTTGAGATAATGAAATTAAATAATAAATATCTCTCAACTAAGTTGCTACACATACACAAAAGTTGGGATTTGAACTCCTATAGTTTTTACCATTCCTTCTTTTAAAAGGTTTGATAATAAATAACATCTTTTACCTATATATATATATATATTATTTATATATAAATTTATGTATTTTTTTAACTATTTAATAGCATTTTATCAAATTATTAAAAAGTTTGTGAAGGTGTACGAGTACGAGTGAATTTGAATTTTTTTTTTTGGGACAAAAGTGAATTTGATTTAATGTAGGAATAAGCGAAAAAGTCTCATATAATAGGTAGAATTGAGTTTAATAAAAGATATAAAAGTGGAATAACCTATAAATTCACAAACTTGAATTAAAATGTGGTGTAGAGACCATTGATATGCATCCCCTTTCTGCGCTTGACTTAGTTTGCACACTCCCTTTTATTTTCAGGCGGTGTTCCTGCTGCTTCTGCGTTCCCAACAAATGCTATAGAGCCCTCTTGTGACTTATTACTTGTATGAAGACTACGTTAGAAGCTGAAACTTCAAACTAGAGATTTGTGATTTGAATCTCAAGATTTCGGGTTGGTACTACTAGTTTCGACAGGCCGACTTGTGCGCAAAAGCAATGGAAGTCCAGGTTGAAACTCATTGATGGCACAAGCGGAAATTTCTTACATTAAATAGAATTGAGTTTAATGAGAGATCATGTAAGTGGAAAATGACCTGTAAGCTTACACCTTTAACTTTTTAAGTTAACGAGGAATTTGGGCCTCTATTATGCTACTCCTTTAATGTCTCTCTACCTCTCTATTTTTTTTCCTTTTTGATCATTAATTGAAAGACATTATGATATCTTGCAATTATGAAACAGTGAAGTTTCATATGTTATAAATTTTTTTTTAAAAAGAGGAAAAAACATAATCATTAATCTTAATAATTTTATTGGGTTTTGGTTTTAGTTTCTATAATTTTTTAGTATTTTAAGTTCTTATAATTTTACCAAAATTAAGTGACTTTTGTTATTCAGGTCTCTATAATTTTCTTGTTATTCTACTGAAAAAAAATATAAAAATTTAAAAAAATTTGATAAAATTATAAGGACTAATGATTATATTTTCAAAAAAAAAACAGTTATGACCATTATATCATGAATTAACTGGTGGCTCAATTGTAGCAAATAAATTTAATTACATCTAATTAAATATATTTTACTTCTATTTTACGCACCAATAGATCATGAATTTATATGAAGTCTTCAAGCATTAATATACAATAAATTCTAATTTTAAAATTCCCAAAAAAGAAAAAGCAACGCCCGTTTATCGTAAAACAATTCAACAGCAATGACGAAATAGTATTCAATAAAGCTCCTAAATAGCATAATACTCGTACGGCTTCGGCAATGTAAGGTTCCAACATGTTAGGTAGCACATATATAATAACTTAATACTCTCTCCCATGTTTAAAAATATAAAATTAAATTTTATTTTTTAATAAAATAATTACTTATTTTTTAATTAATTCTATCTTTTTATATTTATCTTTATTAAATACCCTATAATAAATATAAAGTCATTATCAATAAAAACACTTTAAAAAAAATGCAGTAATTACATTTCGAAAGATTAAAAATACCTTACATTTTTTAATATTAAACTTTTAAAAACATGTCTTATATTTTTAAATAAAAAGAGTAAACAGTAACAAAGTAATAAAGAAAGAAGCATTAAAGTATTCAGAGCCTCTTAGCAACGACAACCATAAAATGAAGCACGATATGAAAAAGGCGAACATTTCCTTGGAGACTTTTGTATATAAATATGTATGCAGAAGTACAGTCCTTCATCACTATAAAGACCTAAATTTTTAAATAAAAAATTGAATTAATTAAAATTTTAAATGTAATTTTATTAATTTTGGGTGAATTATAACAAAAAAGATATGGGGGCTTGGCGGAAGCTTTATTGCTAACTTGCTATTTAACTTTTAGTGCAGGTTCAAATCCTCAGGTTGGAGGATTTATTTTTATTTCGCCCTGAAATTTTTATTTTGCCCTAAATATATATAGGAAGTATGAATCGGAAACCTGGCCGCCCGGATGCGTCAGATTTTATCCTTCGTCACCCTCTGCATTTTTCGAATTTTCTAGAGTTCGCGAGACTGTTTCCCTCTTCTTCAATCCTCCTGATCTTCGGTCATCAGGGATGCACCTGAATCTTCCTTCTTTTTCCTCTGTTTGTGCGCTGCCATGGTGGTACTGTCGTGTGTCCCTGCTTCCGTCTTCCCTGCTTCGCACAATTTGCTAATCATTCGTTCTCTTCCTCCTTCGTCCGTGCTGCTGTGTGGGTGCTTCAAGATCTTCTTCCTTTGCTCGTCTGCCACTGTTAAGAGTGTCAAGGTGCTGAGTATTTCTTTCGTTTTGCCTTGCACTGTCGAAGATATGATTCTCTCTTGTTTAGCATCGTCGTCGATGGGTGTTTGAGGAGCTGAACCACTGTAACTAGAGGCTTGATTTGTGAACTTCTCCCTCTTAGTTTCACGCATCAGTTGTGCTGAGCATCTCCTCTCCCTCTGTTTTTTTTTTTCTTTCGGCGGTGTTGTTCTGAGCTGGGGAGGAGGGCTTTAAATTCTTCAATTCGTTGCTTCCTCTGCTCCTAGGTGAGTTCAGATTTCCCCCTTTCTTCCTTGCGTCCTCGATGTTGGATTTGTGAAGTGGATAATAGCTAGATTGTTACCTAAAGAAGATAAATGTAGATCTGAATATTTTTCTTGTAGCTTAAAATTGGTTTTTTTGGTAGTTAAAAGTTTAGTAAAATCTTATTGTAAATTATAAGATTGAAAGAGAAGGGAACTTGGTAAAATGCTTGTTGGAGTAATTTGACATATAATGGCAAGATACTTGCGATGGTTATCTTGTTGATAGTTAATATATTATAGAGGAGATTTTATGATGGAAGTTGAGACTTAAATTACATATTTTTGGAATGGGTATCTTGAAAGGTGATTCATGAGCTAAATTGCTACTGATATGTTAGTCTCTATAGTTCTTATGAAATAATTGATGCAATGCTTGAAAAATGTAAGAGTTAAAATTTATCTATTCTTAACTTTGAATTAAGTTGTACTGTAGACTTTGGGTTGTAAAATGTATATAGGAAAATGACTATAGTATTATTTGGACACTAGGAAATTAAAGGTCAAGTATCATTGCAAGAAGAATGATTTGGAAGTAAGTTGTATTTTGGGAAGCCTTCATTAGGTGAATAACATCTCAATTAATTTACTAGCAAATCTTATTTTTATCAAAATGTTATTTTAAATAATTTACATGTAACAAATATATTTCTAGTATTGATTCCTTTTGTTATGTTACTCTAGCTCTAGAAGCCACAACATTTACTTTTTAGATTGATGAAAATGTTTTTATAAATTTTAGTAGTTTTTTTTAATCTGATAAAGGCAATAATGAAAATTGGTGAAAAAGTTTATGAGATATTAGTTATGAATTTTCATATTTAGAAGCATAGATATTTTATACAAGTCATGTAAGTTTGATATTGAGAAGAGAAAATTATAATTTTGAAAGTGATGATTTTCTCGCATGTTTGAAAATGAATTTAAAAGGGACTTTATATAGAACATTGGTTGCTAGTGGTACTCTCGTTAGCTCTTGACGCGTCATGGTCAATAACTAGTTAGTTCGATTTTTGTGAGCTCTATTCTCACGTCTGTTATTCTTGGGTCTTGTACCTGCGTTTGTTTCGTGGCTTTGACTACGTCTGGGTAGTCACTCTCATAGATCATGTGTCCACATTTGTCTCGTGGCTTCAACTACGTTAGGTTACTTACTCTCGTGGACTGTGTATCCACGTTTGTCTTTATGGGATAAGCCATATTCGGTTATTTACTCTTGTGAATTGTGTGTCCATATTTGCTAATTAATTGTTTTGATAAGTCCCCGAAAACATGATTTTTAAATAATTTGGTGATTACATACTCCATTGGTTTAAGTAGTAAATATTACTATATTTATTTATTCTATTTATTTATCTTCTTAAGATCAAGTGATAAGGATAATTAGTATTATAAATTTAATGGTTAAGATTTTATTCATGGCTATATGTATAATTTATTAATTTCAAAGCTTATGAAATATTTTATATGAAATTGTTGTCTCTTTGATTTTATAATCATTATTATTTTTTCATTTTATCCTTTTAAACTTCATAAATATTGGAATGTTATTCACTGAAAATTATTATTTTGGTCTCAATGGGGTCTTAATTATCATTATAAACCTGAACATAATCATAATTTGTAAGAATATGCGATATGTATGTGGAGATATGTGAGGACAACATTATCTGTAAAAATACCTGCTTAATTAGCAGAGGATGATGATGTTGGAGAAACTTGCTCGCCAGGTCATGATACTGAATACTGATGATGATTGGCTTGGCTTCTACCTTCTCTCATTTCATTGTTAAAAAGCCCGAATTCCCACTCCTCACTGTCAACAAGTAGACTTGTAGTCTTGTACAATGCACAAAAATACACAATCATCTACTAATGTTAAATGAGTCAGGTAGAAAGGACTTTATGATATTTAAATAAAAGTCTCAAATTAAAGTCTTATAAATGAAAAAAGACTTGTTAAAAAAAAAAAAACAATCATCTACAAATCTACTATTGAAAACAATATGAACCTTGTAGTTTCTCCTTCCAGATAACAATTATAACAGCTTTATTCACAACATGGCGTATCCTATTAAGTAAAATCGGTTACATAGATTGCATTATGCGGCACCTAAATATCTGAACAGATTCACTTGATATTAGAAAATTTGTAAGGGATAAGATATTGAAGTACCTTCTCACATTAAGTCTATTGCAGAACCTTATATGTTCCAGTGTAATGTTTCTTCATCAATATACATACATGTGCGTGTGTTCATGATTAACTTGGTTTGTTTAATCTTTTGTAATAGGATCTACTGAAAATCAGTAAAAGAAAGCGTTCAAGCAATGCAGTGGATCAAAAGTAGTAAAGGTAGAAAATCTAAAAACAGAGGAGACTACAGATCCTTCTGCTTAAGTTTGCGTTGGAGGTGAAGGCACACAGGTAGGACCTGTATATCGGTCGGTATGTGCGTGTACTGTACATTCTTTTTTTTTTATTTTCTTTTTGGTGGGGGGGGGGGCTTCTCCATGCTGTTGGGAAAACAACAAAGAAGATTTTGGCAATACAAACGCACACTCACCTATCCTCAGCTTTGTCTCCAGATTAGTATTGGCAAGACACAGCAAAATCACTAGCTGGAACAAACAAGAAGATAGTCTGATGAACAAATATTTGCTGATTGTCTGCCACAACTTGAACAGATAAATAAATGAAACAACCAAATGGTCTTTGATTTAGTCGTAGCTGCTGCTTCAACTGTCAACAGTCCAAATCCCAAAGTATGAACAGAAGTCATGTCTGTCTTTTTACCTTATGACATGAGCAAACAAATGAAATTGCATCAATCCAATACCCATTCTTTATACTAGGATAAATCTTACAGAGTCTGATCTTGTCATGCCTAAAATCAGTTTCTCATATTGAATTACATGTTCTTATATCTGGTTGATTACTGTCATAAAATGAAATTTGAAACTGTAGGACATAACAGAAATATTGCAGTTCTGGAGTTGTAAGCATCTATCAAGAAGTAGTTAATATGTCTGAGCGATGTCATCAATTTAATTACGTTCTAACAAAATACTAATTCTTCCATCATCCCCCGACTCCTAGACTGTTTTTGCTTGATCATATGAGCAAGAAAGTTAAACTGCATTTTTCTTTCCAATTACTATAATACTGCTTTGCTGTAACTCAACACATCGTGATTTGGATCATGGCCAAGTAGATCAAATTCATTTTCTCTTGTAAGGATGTCAATACATTGCCCTTGAACAGAACATCAGAGCTACACAAAACCAACTCAAACTCGAAGAGAGAGACATGTCACTGGCATACGTTTTTTTCCCTTCTTGTAAATTGGCTGATAAGTCTGAAAACTATAGAGAAAACAACTAAATTTCAAAAGGCGATCTCATGACATGATTTTCGCATCACCCATAATTTATTTTAGTTCTCTGCAGTACTGACACGTTTGTCAGGAAGACAGGAACAGAACATGACTTTCCTAACACAGATTACCGTGACAATTGACAAGTGTGTGTCGTGTAAAAAGAACACCAAGTAATTCCCATTTCCAGGTTTACAAATATGGGTTTCTTATTGATGGATCTCTCGTTGCAAACATACAATTTCAAACGAAACAGAAGATGGATGCCTTACACGTGAATTTACATACACGAGAACGCTCATGAATAGGGTTATATTTGTAACTTTGTGACTTCAGTAATTGAGGTACACAATAGGGGATTCGGATTTCATAAGGAAATAAGGAATCACCGAATTACCATCTTATAAGAAAGTAACTTGTAATCGCAGGATTGAAGGATTAGCTAGCGAGATGAACAAAAGAATAATATAATTACAGTAAATGCAAGCAATATTACACAACTTATCCAATAATTACCAAACCAGATCAAAAATCAAGCCATGGACATGACAGAGAGCCTGCTCGGAGTCGGCCGGAAATTCAACCACCTAAGTTTCAACCTTCGCGGTGGCGGCGTTAAAGCCCTCCTCAAGATCTCCTGGCTGGTCGGACGCTTCTTCAACATCCTCTCCGGCACCGCGTACCCATGAAGCGTGCACCGGACCGAACCGGGCCGGTTCGAGCAAGTGCAAGGAGGGCGTGGCCTGGGCCGCGGAGATGACATCGGCAAGAGACCGTGTTTCCGATCAAGACTAAGCTCGTCCATTTTGATTCCGTAAAGTGAAGATTTTGAAGAAAGCTCAGGGCTTTTTTTAATTTGCCTCCGAAGGGTACTAGCACTGTCAATCATTCTGAAATTGAATTTCCTGAAGCTCTGGTCTGGTTGACGGGACTTGAATTATATTTGGAAAGTAATATAGACGAAGGAATAGACTCCTTAAGGCTGTGGTTCTGGGTATAGAATAGTGAGTTTGGGGAACTTATAGACAAGGAAAGACTTAGGAAGGAAGGAAGGAAGGAAGGAGGAAGGATAAACAAAAAATGCTTCCAAAATCCAAATATGAATGGCTTGACCAAGACTTGGTAAGGTAATGGGGATTGGTTGAAGTCTTGAAGATGACCAGAAAGCGAGTGGTGACGAGGCAACACGTTTGAGCTCTGACTTGTCCTCATTCCTCAGTTTATTTCACAGCGTGAAATAAAGTATGCATTTATTCGGTTATTCCCCGTAAGCAAAATGGAAAAGGGAGATTACATGAGAGGTGAGTCTAGTGGAAGAAATTATGCATCAAATTTGAGTCCAAATGTAAAAAAGAGCATTTCTTATTTTTTTAAAAAAGCATGTATAATTAAACTCGATAAGACTTCAACTTGACCAAGTCAAATAATTAAATAAAAAATTGATTAATCTCCATATTACACAAAATATTATAATTTTAACTTAAAAAATTATATATTTATTAGTATAGATTATTAATATTTATTATTAAGCTCTATAAAATATCAAATCTAAGTCAAGGTTATTATAAATTATTAGTATTAAACAATTATTTTTTTGCCAACAATGTTAATTAATTAATAAAATAAAAATCAATTTAAATACTCTCTTCATGTTTATTATTATTATTATTTTGGTCGAACTCTTTCATGTTTATAAAGGGCAAAATAACCTAAAGTTGTAATTATTATAATTCTAAATTAAAAAATCATAAAATCTTCAAAACAACAATTTTTTATTTAAAAAAAACAGTGTTAGTAGTTTTTTGGTGAAAAAATTGTAAATAAATATCGTTCATTCTTTAAATTTCATGCCACGTATGGAAACCCATCTAATTAGGCTTCGTTTTTAAACTTCAACCTACACACCAATTATAAACTACAAATAACTATTATCAATTATTATTAATAACAAATAAATGACGTAATGAAAATTTATATAAAATAAATACCCAATTCTTGAAATTGCGTGTATCAAAAGTAACTCACCTAATTGTTTTTAATGAGAAACTATCTTAATTGAATTCGTGGGCTTGGAAGCGGCGCAGCCCATAAGTTGCGGAATGAAATGAGAAAATTCTTGGACTCATTCCTCTCTCCTGACTTTGGTCTTTTCCATCCAATCCATTCTCACTTATTTTCTATCTATTTTTCTTTGAGAATTCAATTAAGGTTTATGGCGCATTTTTGTGTCGCAAGTATGTCTATTAAAATCATTTTAATATTGCCTTTTTTTATGTCATTTAAAAGGCTAAGGTTAAATAAGCCCTATGCAATGTATGAAGATTTATTATAGTTCCTGGAAAAAAAATTGATTCTTTTTTGTATGCATATTACAATTTAAAATAAAAAATAAATTCAATTAAATTAAATTTTTGTATATATTTCTTTATGATAGATTTAAAAAAAATCAAATTCTCTTTTCCCCATATGAAATTCGTCGTCATTTTATAAATTAATGTTTATAAATTATAACACATTTAAAAGCTTTTAAACTTTGTATATATCTTATTCCTGCGTTAATTCTTTAGATTCATGGAATCACGTGAATTAATTTGGAAATAGTTCCGGCCCTAAATACAGGGCAAAGATAAGTAATTGAGACGTGTGATGGAGTTTTGACATTAATATCTACATAACATACATTTATACACACACACACACACAGGATCTCTTGTATGTGTACTCCCAGGATTGAAAAACAAAATAAAAGGTATTGATAACTAATTTACTTTTCTCTCGAAAATTGTTAGTTCAAATTTTAATTTTTAAAAAAATTATATCTTTTAAATTATACTTTCATTAATTACTTTATATAATCCATTCATTCAAAAATATGAGACATTTTTTGAGGAGTTAAATATTAAAAAATGTAAGGCATTTTTAGTCTTTTGAGGTGTAATCATTATCTTTTTTTTTAAAAATATTCCTATTAATAGTGACTTTATATTTATTATAGGATATTTAATAGAGATAAATATGGAAAGATAAGATTAGTTTGAAAATAGGTAACTACTTTATTGAAGAATAAGATTCGATTAATGTTTTGATAATAACAATTGAAACTTCAATATATCATTTTTTTTTTAAAGAACAATAAGTGAAATATGGTTATAATTAAAAAAGCAATTACAAAATTTACATATTGTCCTATATTTTAGAATAAACAAGCCTTCTATAAGATGCTCTGTATTGTAGTACAAACCTTCTATAAGATACTTTGTATTGTATCGTTTTTGTGTGCGCGCGCGCGCTCTTCAGCATTTCAAAATAGTATAATATTACTCTTATTATTAATAAATATTAACTTTAATGATAAAAAAATACAGAAAATAACCTTAAAATTTATAGAAAAAGACTAAGAAAATTACAAATAAGTAACATTATTCCCTTTGTAATTTTATTAGTCTTTTTTGTATCTTTTGATATCCTTTTTTAATAATTTTTGGTCAATCAATTATCAAAGTTAACATTTATTACTACTATAAGAAATATTGCACCATTTTGAAATGTTAAAAAGAAATATTGTGTGTGCTTTTATATCTATAAAAAGAATGCTCTTGGATGTATAATTTAAGAGCAAATTTATCATTTAACATTGCGTACTATACTGCAAATAATATCATGTACAAGTTTAAAGATTAGTCAAGAATATTCATGAATCCTGATGTATGTAAATGACCATAATTAACTTTTATCTGCCCTTAGCTATAGGTCAAGAGTTATGGATGTTTTATTTTAGCAATATTAAATACATTATCTTTACAATTATTTATTGAGCCTCGTTAATTATATAAGCCTGATTTTATGAAATATAATCTCCCTCCTTTTTCTCTGTTTTTTTTTTCTTAAAACAAAACTAGAGTGAAAGCTCAAAACAAGTTACAAAAACATACTTATTTTGACTAAAATATTGAAATATGTTTATGTATATCTGTAGATAGTACTTTCACTTAATTTAAAAAACTCCTTCCCCTGAAAAAATGTTGTGAAATATGTGTCTGAAATATAACCTTATGAGCGGTGAATAATATAACTCATTTCTCACATACTCCGTCCAACACACGACGGGAGCTATGCTAATTTAAGAGTGTGTGTGTGTGTGTGATTATTAATTAATTGCAACTTAATTTAATATAAATTAATTGGCATAATTAGTTGTTATTATAAGTTTAATAAATTTTTAAAATAAAATTAAATTTATGGTTTTTGACATAAATAAATAATACTGAAGTAAAACTTTAAGAAACAACCTTGGTGCTAATTAAATTAATTACACTTGACAATTTTTTAATCACCTTTTGGTGGAACTTGAATGTCTGTATCCACTAATGATGGTTCTTTTTCTCTAGATCCATTAATTTCAGGGTTAATAATTAAATTGTAGTTGAATGGACAAGTTATAATTAATTTAATATTTTTAAATAATATATAAAATTATAAAATAACTTCCTTTATAACCATAAACTAATATTCAAATAAAGAAATATTTATCCAAAAAAGGAAAAAATATATTTAGTAGATTTTAATATATTTTAGGTTACGAATAACATAGAAATTTTCATAAATGTCAAATAACTATTGATAATATTAATTTGAAATTCTTTCCAAAAACTTTTATTTTGAACCAACATAGCGATCTGTTAGATGTTGAGGGAAATCATCATTAGTGAACGTAAACATTCATGTTCCCTTTTGGTCTCAAGTAAAACCTATGCATATTTTCCTGTTGTCGATGATTAAATAAATATAATTAATAATAATAATATCTTTTATTATCAAATAATAAATGGCAAGAGGTGGGTCAGCGCCGAAGAATAGGATAAGATTGACGCAAATACAAGTTGAGGCTGATGGCTTTCCATATCATTGAAACCCTACCTTTTGCATGGAATTCTTACTAGTTGCCTATATCATACCACCTTCACATTTCATTCTCAACACTCATTATTCTTAACTTTTTTGCATCCATAATTTTTTTTTTTCAAAATGTTGTGATTATTATCTTCACCGTCAACATTGAGTTGCAACAAGTCAATATCTAATCTATCTCATCACCATCAATATTCAAAACCACTCAATCCCTTTAAAAATTCCCCATGTTCTCCTGCCGATCCGATGTAGACCTCATCAAGATTAGGGCTACAATTGATTTATTAGATTTGAGAAGGCATGTATATATGTATTGGATGGACTATAATTATAATTATGATTACAATTAACTTTTGCCTAGTCATAAAAGAAATTAGTCTGCCTTCATGTAATTTGTCGAGGTGTGTTAATCATTCAACTTTTTATATATAATATACTTACCATTCAGTTTTTTTTTATAGTACTAAAATAAAGATGACTTAATATTTGGATATACTCTCGTAATTATTATTCGTCAATTAAGTGAGATGTAATCTGAAAATAAAACTAAAGAGTCAAATATCATGAATATATCATGATTATTCACATAATTATTATATCTATTAAATGGTTGTGTGTGTGTGTGTGTGTCACAATAAGTTATATATAATAATAATTGAGTCATATTCAGGAATAGAAGTAGGTTATGTGGGTACTATCGATTACTTACCATTCAGTTTTTTTTTTATAGTACTAAAATAAAGATGACTTAATATTTGGATATACTCTCGTAATTATTATTCGTCAATTAAGTGAGATGTAATCTGAAAATAAAACTAAAGAGTCAAATATCATGAATATATCATGATTATTCACATAATTATTATATCTATTAAATAGTTGTGTGTGTGTGTGTGTCACACAATAAGTTATATATAATAATAATTGAGTCATATTCAGGAATAGAAGTAGGTTATGTGGATACTATCGATTATAAATAATCAGAGTTAATTAACAGATGAGATTTCATAGTCGTGTACATAGTATATGCAAAAGGCATCTCAACCATATAAATATGTGAAGGATATGAATAGCAACAATAGTGCATTTCATGGTGGCGATATCTATTCCAAAACAAGCATAATAGGATTCCATATTTCATAAAGTTGATTTGTAATCTTTCCTTAAAAGGGAATGGCGCAATTAAAGGGTATTTAATTTGTGTGGTTTTAGGATAATGATTCCTTTAAGATGATAGCAAGAAATGGTCCCTTCAAAGTCAGCTAGAAAGCAAGAAAGAAAGAGATAGATAGCTACCATTTAGCTAAGCTAGCTGCTAGCTATGGTGTGTATGAGCTACACTCTGTAATTGTCTATTTGTTTAACCTCAAGATTATATATGGAATATGCTTTCTAATTTTGTCTTATCATTAGCCCCACCTTCAGAAAATGACGCCCATGCATGCTCAAATATCTTGAAACCCTTTTCAGATTGAAATCGATCAATTTCAGTGTGTGGGTAGATCTCAATATATAATAACAAAGAAATCATCTTTCTCAAAAATAATTCTTCTATATATACATATATATAAATGCTTGAGCTTTTCTTCTTACCATCCTCAAAAAAGCCTTTATGTGATTGGTTGCTGATTTGAAAATTCTTTTGTTTGAGCTTCAAAATCTATCTTTAGAGCAAGTGACAAACACTATCACTGCACTAGCTGTTATCACTCTCTCTATGTCGCACATACCCGCAGTTACATCTGCTAGCTGCATGTCATGTTCACAGGGCTAAACAATGAAGAGTTTAAAACTTTCTGCAGATGTGAGGCTGTTTCTGAACTACATAAATTTGTGAGGGGTTTATGGTTTTGGTGTATTGGTGGTGACGAGAAGAATAGTAAAGAGATAAGGATTAATCATTACAAGACAAGCCAACATCTTTAACAATAAAAGCTGGAAAAAAATGACAAACTTTATTTGTATTTACCCGGTGGATCAACTTGCTCAAACATGGAAAACGTTTGGGCCAGCTAGAAAATCATTTAAATAAAATAAAAGAGAAGAGGTATTTACACTTGGCAAGATTTGATATTATTAATGTCATAAAAACTTTATATTTATTTATTTATTTTTATCTCGAAATTTTTGTAGAATAACCAAGCACTAAATGAAAAATACAAGTTATAGATGTACCAAAAATCAAGTTCAGAAATGAGAGAACATAAATGAGAATAAATTACTGCTGCAACCTATGTTGATATATATGAGAAGTGCCGATGGTGAAAATTATATCATAACAAATAAAATTATATGAATGCATATACATATTCTATAGCTCATTAGAATATCATTTGCACCAATAGAGTTCTACAGTATATAATCTCTGTACAAAGTCCTGTATTGTATCTCCTAAAGCAAAGTATAAAAAAGATAGCTCAATATTCCTCGTTTTTTTAACCGTTTAACTGTTGAAGTTTTTGTACATGAAGATGCATAAAACCCTCAATATATTTCTTCACACATATAAATATATATATCAACAAAAACAACCAAATACCTATATATAAATCTGCATAATTAACGCTGATCTATATAATTCTGCCAATAATAATTAAAAACAATATCCACGACCTCACCTTATAATGTAATAGTATACTTTTTGCAGCTACAGCACCGATTGTTGAAGAAGACAAGATCGATCAATCTCTCTGCTGGTATCAAACTGATGACTCCCTTCCAATCTCCTAAAACAACCAAAATCTCAGTAACCCCACTAATTAATGCTCCCAATCTCTTTACAATCACAATCATATGTACCATCACGAGCTTCATTAATCTTCCTCTCTTAAGCATACCAATGCATTCCAGGAATTTGATACTGTGCCCGAAATAGCCCATCTCCTATAGATCCTACCACTGGAGGAGTCTGTGGAAGCTGGTTTAGCAGAGAGGCAATAGAACTAGCACCAACAGTAGTAACCCCGCCGCCGCCACTGCACCCACCATTCTCATTATTGTCCAAACTCAATCTTTTTGAGGCGATTCCGGCCAGATCCTCATCGGCGTTCCAGTACAGCGATGGCAGTGTTCGTTTAGAAGGTAGGTTTGTGATGGAAGTAGAAAGGTTTGAAGAGGAGGCTCCAGCACCCATAGCAGGGATCAAATTAGGAAGATCTGTGTTGATTCCATTGTTGTTGGTGGTGGTGGCGACAACCCCTTCCAGTAAGTTATGGTCGTCGTTTGTGTCTAGCAATAACGATCCACATCCGCCGTAGGTTGTTGTGGACATCTTCGAAAGATGGAATCTGGCGTTCATCTGTCCAACGTTGATCGAAGGAGGAACCCCGCCAATCATATCATCCATCGATGAATCGTCATGGTCCAAAGGCGACCTGTGTGCGTTGCTCTTCTTGTATATTCGGCACAGCACCCAATCATCTAGCTATAAACATGAACAAGAATCACAGAATAAATCACCCATCAAAAACTATAACTAATAAAACACGTATTAAAATGAGACTAGATCGATCTAAAGATTCAAAGATAATTGATCTGATTGTGACAAGGAGAATAGATGGAGAAGGCCATATGCTGAAAACTAAAACAAAACTAGAAAGCGTACATAGAGAGTAGATACGATCAACCGGCCTGGTGAAATCAGGCATATTGCGATCAGGGATAGAGCTAGACTCTGTGAGTTTAGATGCAGTTTGAGGTGCCTGATTTCTGAGATGAATAAGAAAGACAAAGCAGATTTGAGGGAGAAGGATGATTACCCGGAGAGAGTTCTTCTTGTTGCCCAAGTCACAACCCGGAGGCTTATTGTTAGGCTTATTATCAGCAAGCCTGTATTCATGCATGATCCAGTTGGTTTTGATCCCTCTCGGCGGCTTCCCTCCATAGAAAACCAAAGCTTTCTTCACCCCAACCTTCTGGTTTCCGTTTGATGTCAATACAGGCTTATCAGTTCCTGTGGCCTTCCAATACCCAGATGTCGCGGCCCTGTTTGGCCTAGCTCCGTTTGGGTACTTCCTATCCCTCGGGCTAAAAAAGTACCATTCCTGCTCTCCAAAGGCTGCTTTAGCTGTAAAAATCACCAAAATAATAATAATAATAATAATAGTAAAAACATATCAGTCCACACCAATAAGAATTCAATCTAATCCAGGGAACATTGATACTGTTAGAAATCAAATCACATATTTTCGTATCAGATAGGATTTAATTTAATATATATTTAATATCGCATACCCTATTGTGTCCTTTATCTATTATTACTGATTAGAATTGGGCGTACCTGGGAGTTCCCATGGATCGAACTTGTAGAGATCGACCTCGGCGATGATCGCGACGGGGAGAGGAGCAGAGGACGCCTTCTTCTTGAGGTAGTGAACAACGAGCTCTTCATCGGTCGGGTGGAACCGGAAACCCGGGGGCAGGTTTGGCTGCTGCGAACCGGTCGACGATTCGGTGCTCTCCATGGTAGCTTGAAGCCTTCACTGAGTCGCGTTCGAACGGTTACGATTCAAGGTGTGGCTATGCCGACCAGGGAAGACCATGTTAGAGAGAGAAATTTTTGTTCGCACAGATATTATATATTTCTCTCAAGAAGTGAAGCTAATTCTTTTATGAGCATGTGAGATCGAGAATAATCAAGTACGGAAGCGCCCAATGGGTCTCTTTAGGATTTTCCATTTGCTACGTGACACGTCAGAAATAAATGGTACCTTTGTCTTTTCATATAATGGGTCAGCTACATGGTTGAGCGTAGGACGAGAATAACTGTGAGGTGGCTGAGGAGATGGCTGCGAGTGCAACGGAGGAGCGCGGGGTAGCTGACGGTGACGCAAACTTGAAATGAGTTGGTCGAGAGGTCGACACGTGTAATTTGATCGATGATGGGTTGACACGTAGGTGGGACCCACAGAAGCTAACAAAAAGATACCACACCCTTTGAGGTCATTTTCTTTTATTTCTTTTTTTATTTTTCTCATATTTTAAATTATTAATGACATAATTTTTCTTTTGGCTTGGTGGGAAAACAAAAAATATATATATTAAAATGGTGAAGGGTCAGATTAGGGTAAGGAGGTAGAGTGGGGACGAATAACAAAAATCCAATATTCATGATAAATAAATGGACCCACTGGCCCACTTTCCACTATGGGGAACGGTTAAGCACATCATTAATTCATAATCCGAGTTATATTGCCGCTTATGAGTTAAGAGTCTTCCTTTGACTAAGTTGAGATTTTTTTTTAATATTTTCAATGATTAATAGATAAAAATTATAAACAATGCTCCACAATATAAACTTCTTTAAACATAAAGCTATGTAATCCTATCGTATCAATTTAGATCAATTTATAATCGGGTTAAAAAGAAGATTATACTATATTATACTTTGGGCAAGTTATCTTTTTTAAAAAAAGTTTTCCATATATTTAAATTAATAAAATGAAAAATATTCTAAAGTGCTAATAACTCAGGCATGAGATTTTAAATAACAAGGATATTACTTATAAATGAACCAAATAGCTAATTTAAATTAATATTTCCATTTTAAAGTTTGTAAACTCGGAGCAACGTAACCCTTCATCGTATTGGAGTACATATATATATATATATATGGAGAGGAGTACATACATACATATATTATCATTTAAACTTATTTTATAGATATAATTACTACTCAAAAGAGTTCAGTCTATAATCTTTTTATCGTAGTTTAAAAAATAAGAAAATGAATTTACACTTAATTTTCTAAATAAATAATATAGAATATATATATTTTAATAATTAATTATATGAAAAATGAATTTTAAAGAGGAAATTTTAAAAATGAAAAAAATTTCCTTATCTTTTTCTCCAAATATAAATATTAAAAAAGGAAATTGAGAGATCATTGTTTTTGAGTTTGGATTTATATTTGTTGGTTTTGACAGGTGACTTTTTCTATTTTTTTTATTTCCATCTCTATATATCGCCCGAATCTAATTGCGGTATGCTCCAATTGACTCGCATTTACCATAAAGTCCACTTCTTATAATTAGTCCTAAATCAAAAAGTGTTTGAGCTGGAAAATACGTACTCATCTAAATAATTTTGCTTTTCAATTTTGAGATACTCAAACCAGCCTTACTGAGTTGTTTTGATTTAATTGATTTCAAACTTTTATTTTTAGCATTGAACCGGTCGCTTGACTTGACAAGAAAAAGACCCGCGGTAATAATTAAATATCAAAATAGTGTTTAATTTAACCTTGTTCTAAGGTTAAAATGTTAATTAATGGATGGGATCATATACTGGTTCATGTAATATTTAAGATATTTATTTTATCTTCATTTAAGAAAAAAAAAGTATCGCTGTTACATGCATGAGAAAATGGTCCAAATCAGAACGGGTGGAGGATAATAAAATGAAGATAAAGGGATAAATAATGAAGCAAAGAGTGGGGTCCAAATGCTGGTTCATTTGAATATTTTGATCGACCAGATGGTCCCACTTTAAGTCACTTCATATGACCCCATTCCTAACCTCACAGCTTACATCACATTCAACTCCAGCTAACAATAAAGTATGAAATGAAACCCTAGACTCAGATTAATTTCCCCCACACGTAATAATTATTGTCAATGAATTAATTAAGATTTACGATCGTCCCACCACACAGTCCTTAATACAAAGAAATTTTTTTTTTGTCTTAAACATTAGACGAACTTAAAATAATTAATTTTTTAATTTTTTTATATTTATCTCTATTCCATAAGATATTTCAATTAAAAAATATTGTTAATTACATCATAATTAAAGAAAAATATTGAAGTAGATCGGGTATGTCATGTTATTTTTATTTTGTCTAATTAAAATGCTCAACATAATTTAAATAAAATTGTGTGTAAGATTTTTTTAATTGCTTTTATTCTTGTAACAAAATGCATGTTTGATTTCTTATATTTTTTTACTATTATTAATATCATAATTAATTTTATTTAATATCATTTAAATGTAATATTTTTATTGGATAAATTACAAATGATGTGGTGCACCCGGTCTACCTAATAATTTCTTCATAATTGAAAGAATTTTTTTTTTAAATTCTTATTGATTGAACTTTGAAAGGCTTAAAATATATATATTATATTTTCTATGGTACTTTAAAAAAATGCACTATAATATTGAAGGGATTGGAGGGAGTATTTATGTCATATAAATTTAAAATTCACTTACAAATATCAATTATATATACACCGTAATATTATAGTTTTTTTTTTTGCACGCACCGCAATATTATAGCTACTTAGTCATTGAAATGTTTGAATTTATTATTATTTATATTTAAATTTAATTTGAAATTTAATGTAAGACCTAATAGAATACTAATTTTGATGGAATTATATAAAATGTAACATCTAACTAAATCAACAAATATAGTAGATTGCTATTAAACAATAAACATCAACTTTCAAATCAATAATGAATAAATCAGGTAAAATAATCAATAATGAATAAAAATAATAATACTACAATTTATATTTTTATTTGATTATTAAAATACACATATATGTAGATAGTAATACTATCTCATGTTTGCTTCTTCTATTATTATTGCCGAAGGATGTTTGGTTAATGATTTCATAGAATATATTACTACTTTATTGTTTTTCCCCTTATTTTGAAACACTACGTCTTATTCAATGAAATTACGAGACACTAGCTAATGTAGCTTTGTATCTCGTAAAGTTGTCTACTCTATCTTTTACTCTTTTATGTTGTCTGTTCATTCTCATTTTATTTTATTTTTTCCATTCCATCGCTTTGTGTTCTAACAAAACCTAAGAGCTAACACATCCTCCTACTTAAACAAATCCAAAACCTCGTGATGCAAGATTATTATTATCAACTATGGCCTCATAAATATTTTAAAAATACCTTTAACATATTTATTTTACGTAATTGAATTAACCAAGCGCCCCTTGATTGTTCTCCTCATTTTATAGCACCTGTTGATGTAAACTATCATGTCAAAAACTAGCTAGCTAGAAATAATATATATTTGTTAATTTTTTATTTGTGCTTAACCCAATATTTGAATTTTAACTTATTGTAACTTATTTCATATAATTTTAACTCAATTGTAACTCAATTTTTATAGTTTTAATTGCTAAAAATATTAGTCTCTAACTATATTTTAGAAAATAAAATTGTAAATATTTAAATTATTTTGAAATTTAGGGACTGTTATTTTAAATTACTAAAACTTTTGATCTATATAAAGATTAGAATGGACCAATATTTCAAATAATTAAAATTATAGAAACTATATTGCAACAAGTCAAATTTTAGAAGCTACGTTATAACCAAATCAAAACCATAATAACTTATTTATAATGAGTTAAAGTTTATGAATTGAGTTATAATTGAGTCAAAATTAGAATGATCAAATCATTAATTTTTTCACTGTTTTCAAATAACAGCAGCAGCAGCACCACTGCCACCGCCACACGATTAATTTTGATTTCCCAACAAATTAAAATACAAAAGGATGATGATGACCAGTCACCTGAATCCCAGGATTCTCCGACATCCATGCTTTTCTATCTCGTCTGTCTCTCTGTTCTATATGCAATCATATTTAGATACCTCAAATTTAATTTTATAAAAAAAAAAACTATCAGTATCGTCTCCTTGGAAAACATATTTACTTTGTCTTCTAATTAATGAGGACAATGATGAGAGTTTCATTCAACTGTTTAGATGGACTGACCAAACTAAAGGATTAGTGATGCGCACATGATGTTTAGTTAAACTTGCTATACTATGTGTACAAATTTACAATATACGCTGTTAGTCTCTTGAGTAAGAATATAAATATTATAATATACTTCACAATAATCTTTATTCAACGAAAGTTAAGTTAGTATGCTCTCCGTTTTTAAAATGATAGAAATTTTTAATTTTAATAATTAAGTCTTAATTAATTTCATAGATCAGCAAAAAATTAAATAAGTAACAAATAAATATGAGAGCGTTGATATATATATATATATATATATAAGAACATTTTAAATAAATATATGTAAAAAATTAAAGAAATTATGAATTGTTGGAAGCTTTTGTAACAATAGGACTCGTGGGAAACTTTATCAAAAATATTATATTCACTTTTAAACAGCATATCTTTGTGAGATAGATAGATTTAACACCTCACCAACTGATGAAGTCGAATTTCCTGATAGAAAGCGAACGTCAAGGTGGTAAAAAGTGAGGGCTTAATTATAGTGTTACTCTCCAAATATGTCATTCTTATTCTAAATAGGATATAATTAGATGTTGGTATTTGGGTGGTGTTTAGAGGGACAATGGCCTTATTCCTTTGACCAAAACCCTACGCTGTCTTTTGCACAATGGTAGAAATAATAGTTTCAATATTAATTAATTTAGAATGTTTTTGGAGGATGTTTAGCCTTTGATAAGGTATTGCATGCTTCCATATCTCGACCAAAAGATCGTGCATGCTATCCCAAACTGCAAACTCAAGGGCAAGGGAACCTTATCAGTACTTTAAATCTAATTAATTTTTTCCTT